ACAGTGAAAAAAGACAGTGTGAAACAAGACAGTGTGAAACAAGACAGTGTAAAACAAAACAGTGTGAAACAAAACAGTGTGAAACAAGAGAGTGCGAAACAAGAAAATGTGAAACAAGACAGTGTGAAACAAGACAATGTGAAACAAGACACTGTGAAACAAGACATTGTGAACCAAGACAACGTGAAACAAGACAGTGTGAAACGAGACAATGTGAAACAAGACAGTGTGAAACAACACATTGTGAAACAAGACAATGTGAAACAAGACAATGTGAAACAAGACAGTGTCAAACAAGACAGTGTGAAACAAGAAAATGTGAAAAGACAGTGTGAAACAAAACAGTGTGAAACAAGTCAGTGTAAAACAAGAAAGTGTGAAACAAGACATTGTGAAACAAGACAGTGTGAAAGAAGACAGTGCAAAACAAGACAGTGTGAAACAAGACAGTGTGAAAGAAGACAGTGCAAAACAAGTCAGTGTGAAACAAGACAGTGTGAAACAAGAAAGTGTGAAACAAGACAGTGTGAAACAAGACATTGTGAAACAAGACAGTGTGAAAGAAAACAGTGCAAAACAAGACAGTGTGAAACAAAACAGTGTGAAACACGTCAGTGTAAAACAAAAAAGTGTGAAACAAGTCATTGTGAAACAAAACAGTGTGAAACAAGACAGTGTGAAACACGATAGTGTGATACGGGTCAGTGTAATTGTTGTTTTTGGTTCCCCTTTCTAAGTTCTCTTGGTATGAACAAGAGTAGGTGCTTCAGTGTATGTTAAAATTTATGTGGGAATGCACCTGCCGAGACACAACGACGTATGGCGGGCCATAAACTGTAGATATTTGTCTCTGAGTGCAATAAAACGGCCCCTAGAATTCGGAGAAGTCAAGTTGATAGACTATTTTGAGATTTACAGCAATATGAATGAAAGTCCTATTGCATAAACAGCTTATGTGTGCTGATAGACGATATAAAAATGTTTATATTGCGGACAAGATAAAAAAATAGCAGGCGTTCGCGCTGTCTGTATTCAGCTGAACAGTAAACACATATACACAGTCAGTCAGCATATTACACATGCAACCCTTGGCTTTAACTTGATAAGTGAAAGTCAACGCCCTTTTACAGCCTTTAGGCATATCGGGCATGTACTGCTAGACTTATATTTGATAGATCAACTGGATGATGTGGTTAACGTCGAAGAACCCGAATTTACTTCCCAGGGCTTTTCTTTGTACCCTTTAAAGTCAGGGTTGGCTTCTCGGAACTTGGTAAAGGTGTGAAGATGAAAGCAAGGTGGAAACAGCATCAATTTTGTGAACCGTGCACTCGATTTTATTGTTGACACGTGTTTCCCAAACGTTTCTTGATCGCGGCGCCTTTTTTTTTTTTAATTAAATATTTTCCACAGCGCCCTAACCTAAGTAAAAATATGACTATTCGTAGATAAAAGAAAAAATAATTCGTGTATTTTCCAATATTTCTCGGTGCCCCTGTGAAGAGGTCGCGGCTCCCCGGGGCGCCGCGGCGCACAGTTTGGGAATCACTAGCGCAGAGGCTAGGGGATGAGCTTAACGATTTCATGATACTCGAATACAAGGGATCGTTCTCCGTCAGCGGACGGTTTCAAACATTGCTGTCGTGGTTTACGGACAATAGCACCAGAGCCGCACCGTGGATGTAATTGGGGTCTTCTATTCTTGCTAGGGCTGTACCGAATATTCGCTTCGTATTCGCTTCGGGGCCGAATAGTGGACCTAATACCTATTCAGTATTCGGCCGAATACTTGCGGTCGGGCTGAATACGAATTGTGGTTACTTTACACCCGTTTCTGCATACACTGCGATAGTTGCTGTTGCCTAAGTCGCTTTCATGCATTAACAAAACTGTCAGTGACAATTTACAAGTTTAGTTACTTGTTATAAAACTAAGAATAGTTTCATTCCTAGGTATTAGTTACCACACAATGAAGAACATCTTATGCAATATATCTTTATCATAAAATTAAAAAAAAAAAAAAAAAAAATTCTTGCTTGCTACATAGATCCGGTTTTAACATATTGCTGTGAATCCTGGACAATCGCTAGGCAGGCCAAACAATTTTTTAAGGCCTCAGAAATGTGGTTTTACAGAACAATGCTTCAAATACCGTGACAGACACACACACACACACACACACACACACACACACACACACACACACACACACACAAGCAACCAAGAGATTTTGAAAGAGGTGGGAGCCCGAAGACAACTAATCACAGACATCAGAAAGAGACAGTCATCATTTTTCGGCCATGTTTTGAGAAGAGGGAAAATAGAGCATGTTGTGACCATTGGAAAGATCTGTGAAAGGAGAGATAGAGGAAGACGAGAGAAGATTCTTGACAGTCTCGCTGCATGGCATGGAAGTGTGTCAGCACACGAACTGATACATGCTGCGGGAGATCGCAGATTGTGGCGAGGCATAATAGCCCACGCTAGTCGGCAAAGCACCTGATAATGATAATGCACTATTTTATTCGTATTCGGCCGAATAGTTGGTCTCACTATTCGTATTTGGCCGAATAGTGAAAATCACTATTCGGTACAGCCCTAATTCTTGCCACCTTCATTGTGGAGACGGCACAGCGATTTTTGTAGTCAACAGCATTTGAGTGTCAAAGATACCACTAGACTGGATTTGTTTCGCATAGGCTAGCTGTACAGTTCAACACAATGTACTTTTACAATGTGCATATCTAAAGACTTCGTAATGCCGGGATGCCGGGTTTGATCCCAGCTGCGGGACCATGCTTGGTTTCGACAGTGGTTTCAAGAAAGCCGACCGTCCAGTGAGCACTGGCAAACTATTGGACGTAAATTTGCCCAGAAAAACCAAAATACAGCCAGGGGCTGTTGGGGTTGGTTCTGCAACCTCGTGTAAAGATTACGCAACTAACCTTATATTTAAAGATCAAAAATCTCTGCCAATTAATACTTTGTGGAGACAACATAAGCCTACTGTCCGGGAAATGCAGGAGTGCGAGGGAATGAAAGAGCGGATTTTCTGGCTTCAAAAGCGATAGCTACCTGAACACTTGTACTGGGCAAGGGAGACGTTGTGAAAACCAAAAATGAACGATTGTTGATAGAAGATGCCATGTTAGATGAAACTGTGACAGAATGTGTGAACTAAAAATTAGGAGTTGGCCAAAATAGGACAGGCGCATGAGAGGAAGAGAATGACGTGTGTATAATCTGTGTGCTAGTAAGTCAAGATCCCTTTTCACACCTTTTAGGCGCATAAGGCATATGGGCAGAGCATTCATATTTTTTACAGACCAAACAGCACTAGGTCGGTAATGTGGTCAGCATTACGCCGGCCGTTTTTAACTTCCTGAAGATATAATCCTGGTACCCATTTTTAGGCTGGGTCGACCTGCAGCGCCCCATACCCCAATAAAAATCCAGGCAGCTAGCTGGGGGTTTCCATAGTGTATGCTAATGGAATAGTTAAAATTTGCACCATAAGCATCTGTGGGTACGCTCGGTGTGCCGTAGTGTCCATTCTCAAATCCGTAACTACAAACTAGAGCGCATACAGAACGCGGCTATGCGGGTCATTCTGGATTGCACCAGAGACACCCCAGTGGTGTGTAATTATGTGTATGCGATACATCCTTGGTTTGCCGACGGTTGCAGGTAGGCACAAGGTGATGCAGGCAAAGTCATATCTCAGAGTAGCTGAAGACACAGACCACCCTCCGCACGAAGCTTTGGGTGCAGTTAAGGGTCAGCGGCTGATAAGAGGGAGATCATGGATGGCTCAGGCAGAAGACACAATCAGACAGGTTTGCATCCTTGAGAACATTAGGCGAGGAGAGGAGTGGGTCAAAGTGCCACCTGAGCAGTCAGACTTGTGTAGAGTCATAATCACGCTGAGCCGGAAATGCAGAGATTGGCCAGCAGGTGCCACAGAGGTAGAAATTCAGCAATTAATTCAAGATAATGCTCGCTCAGAGGATTTGATCATTTACACAGACGGTTTAGTGTCAAGAGGCAAAAGAAGTGCTTGGGGCTTTTTAGCAAAAATTAATGGTCGATGTTTGGTGCAGTAGAGCCTAGCATATGATACCACAACATCCAGCTTAAGAATGGGGGTGGAGGCGGTCACTGCAGCTTTCCGCTGACTAGAGAACACACACACACATTGTAATTGTAACTAATTCAGAATGCATGATGAGGAAGATCAGAACAGGTATGCTTCGTGCAGAGTGGCATGCTTCGCTGCGGAGGACACGAGTGAGGAGTATAGTCTGGATTTTTTCACCGGGTCACGCCGGTGTGTTGGGAAATGAACAGGCGGACAGACTGGCTGGCTCTGCACAACTTGGTGGAATACTGCTACATGATAGGGCAGACGTGGTTAGTGCCTTGTGGGAGAGCGTGTACAATGCGGAGGAGCAGATGGATCACCACAGTTTTGTGAGATTGATGATGCAGTTGGGGGTGACGAGGGGTTCTGGCAGAAGCTCAAGGCTCAGAGGAAAGGCAAGACGGACATTTAATCAGAAAGCTACTGGCACCATTAGTATCGGAACTCTTCGCTGGCTGCTGAAGATGGAGACGGAGCGCTTTTGGGAATGTCCAGGGTGCTGTGATGTCGGTTCTTGAATTAAATCAAATCAAATCAATTAATCCGTAAATCAGTAAAGATATCACGTTATCTCTTTTACTATATCTATTTTTAGCTGGCGAGAGACCAAGTTTCTGTAAGGCAGTCCTTGATGAGAGCGACTTTCTGCTGCAGACATGCTACACGATGATGATGATTTTTTTAATAGACACAAAAGCTGAGTCTATAAATGTGTTCGATGTGTATATTTCCAAAGGGAGTTCAATGTCTAAAAAAAAAAGTAAATGTCTGGTCAATAAAGTAATGTCTTTTTTTATTTAGCAATTTTCAGCTACACATTTGATAATTTTGCAATAATATAATGAGTGATAATTGATAATTTTGCAATAATATATTGAGTGATAATTGATAATTTTGCAATAATATATTGAGTGATAATTGATAATTTTGCAATAATATATTGAGTGATAATTGATAATTTTGCAATAATATATTGAGTGATAATTGATAATTTTGCAATAATATATTGAGTGATAATTGATAATTTTGCAATAATATATTGAGTGATAATTGATAATTTTGCAATAATATATTGAGTGATAATTAATATTTTTAATAATACACTTATAATAGTAGTAAGTAAAAAAGTAAAGATCCCTTTTCACGCCTTTTAGACATATCGAGTATATGGGAAAAGCGTCCATATTTTTAAAGACTATCAGCACTAGGTTGGTAATGTGATCAGCATTACGCCGGCCGTCTTTACTTCCACAGGACAGCCTTCCTGGTTACCCATTTTAGGCTAAGTCGACCTGCGACGCCCCATTTCATGACAAAAATCCACGCATCCAGCAGTGGGTTTCAATCGCCGTTTGTTGGAATTACGAGTCGGACTCGCAGCTCCTAATAATAAGTTTAAATAATAGTGTTTGATTTTCAATTTCTAAGCAGCTCAATATTTTCAAAATAAACTTCACATGTTCGGTTACACTTGTTTGCATTTGATCGATTGACCTGTATAAAGTGTGGGATCTGTGTTTCTATTTGTGTGTGGTGATATGTGTATGTA